TCTAAAACATGCAGGATTGTGGCCCTCAGGGACCAGGATTGGACACCCCTGTGCTAAACCAAGAAATCCAGGAATCTAATGCGTTCCATTGTGCTCACTGTGTTCTCACTGTACAGGTCCCAGCTTCCACAGTTCTACAATACAAGCAAAGTAAGTTAGGACAAATTCTTCTTCCATTTTTATATTTATTGCTTTTAATTACAGGAAAAAAAAACAGACCAACAATTTGCATAAAATCCAAATTCCGCTCTACAAATATATTTGACCTTTCCAGTACATAGATATCAAAGAGTACAGTAAACATTACGGCTGAGGGTGGCAGCAGAGTGACCCCTTGCAAATGTACAGTACAGCATTTTTCAAACGTTAAAGGTCAACAAAACGACACTTGGGTTTGTTTGGAGCATTCCTCAGTATATACACTGGACTTCCCTCATCCACACAACAGTCCGACTGGTTCACATCTGCTCACTGCTCGTGATCCAGAACACAGCAGGGTCTTCAAGTCTTGAATGGAAGGAAGAACTTCTGCAGGGAAGCAGTTTGGAACATAAGGTTGAAAGTGAAACTGTCCAATCTGACAGCAGGGTGTTTGAATCTGTACATCCTTAATGGATTAACATCAAATATCTCCACCTCAGGCATCTCCTGATGGTCACTTTAAACATTTAGAGGGAAAAAAACAAAAAAAAAACAAGAGGGTATGCATAGATCAGTATTAAACTAATGCACTGACAGTAGGCTGAGCAGTAATGGCAGGCAAAAACACGCACAAAAACAAGCAGCACATCCACAAAGCCCTGAAAACAACCAACAAGCAGCCTGAGAGTCTCTCCTCAAATGGTTACAAGGAAATCTGATGGCTTAAGCAAAAAAAAAAAATCATTACCGACATATTTCTGTCAGCTTCAGAGAGACGTGTGACAGAAAACATCCACGAATGCTCTTAATGTACACACTTCATTGTCTACGGGCTACATGGTGTTCGGTGTCATCTTCTCTGTTGTTTTGTAATAGGAGAACTGTTGACTCCTACAAATTCCCATGTGGAACCCTAAAATGTTCAATATTAAATACATAAAAATACTATGAGAGAAATAAATATGAGTTATAAATTAATTAGTTGTTTGTAAAAGAAAAAAAGAAAATAAATATTTAAATTCAACTCATCAATAAAATGTCACACTGCTGCTGTTCAGCAAGCAAGCTCAATAACTGCTCTCAGATTTAGCCAATTAGCATCTGCTAGCAAGAGCAACAATCAGTAGCTCCAGTTAGCTAGACCAGCACAAGATAGCTACAGTTAGCAAGAGAAACACAAGTTAGCTCCAGTTAGCTAGACCAAAA